TATCTTCTGCTTCTACAGAGCGCTACAGAGGGCTTATTTGTGTCTTGTCCACTTAACATCTTAAGAGGCTTTGGTGTACAGGACTTCCCCTGTGAGACAGAGTCAATACTACTGTTGTTGTTTATGTTATCCTCCTTTCCCTTTACTTCCTCTGACAGTGCAGGCTGCAGCTCCAATCCCGGGCTACTTCTACTTTTCTATTGTTATAGAAAGGAAGCAATAGCAATTGAATGAGTGTTAGTGGCTGTGCCAGAGACAGACAGGTGAGAGCCGTGCTGCAGATGGTGAGAGGAAGTCTGCAAGGCTAAGAAACACACACTGGATCAAAGAGGCCGACTTCCCTCGATGACTGTGCTCTCTTTTACCACGCCTGTCTGCCTGTGCCCTCTCACCACTTCCTTGCCTCTCTGTGAGTTGTCCTTTCCCCATGACATGATCAATGGCCTTCTCCTCTACCAGATTGCCAGGTTTGAGTTCAAGCTCCAGTCACAGAAGAAGAGTAGCGCTTCTCTGCTTCTTCTGGTGGGCAGACGAGGAGTCAGCTGGAGCTCACCACAGGGATGAGGGGGCACATTTTTTCCACAGATCTGCACTTGACTGTCTGCTTTGTCCCCACACAAGCTGTAAAAACCTCTCACTCCAGCCCTTTCATTGTCATCCAGTTTCCTTTCATTCTGCCCATTTTAATAGCTCCTTCCTTGGATTTGCACAGGGGTATTTGAAGGAAACTTTGCATAAAGTAAAGTTCATAAAGTACAAGCAAGAGGTGGGCACAACTTAAGTGTCTTTTTGACAAGGTTGTTTGGTGCAGGAAGAAGGGGGTGTTTGCTGCCAAATGTTCCCTTGGCTGGCTCCTTCAAGAAATATCAAAAGGCCCTTTATGAGGTGCTGTAAAGAAGAAAGGCCATTTTGAGAGCACAACTGTACTGTAGGGTAATTCCATTTTCTAAATGTGCCCTCTGGACAGTCTTAGCGTATCCCACCTGCTGCCTTCCTGCCCTGCTCAACTTGAAGACTTTCTAAAGATAAAGTTTGTCACAGTTCTTCTGTTTCCATAGGACAACATTCCAAGACCTACAACCAATGTGTTTATGGGCTGTGTGCCTGTTTCTATGAGTTGTTCTTAATCTTGCATGTGTTGGTTCACTAAAGCACACCCCTTCTTAGGTGTACTGTACTTTAAAGGGGTGTTTGGAGGCCCACTTTGCAAGACCAGGTCTGTGTGCTTGTGTTTCTGCTTCGGTAATGAGCTTTCTGACAGCTGTTGAAAGGTGTTACAGCTCAGCACCTCTAATGAAATCATCCCCCTTCTTTTAACTAAACGCATTCCTTTCGCTCTGCCTGAAACATCAGTCTTTACACATACATAAACCATTTCACCAAAAAGGTTTGACTTATGGGAAACCTGCCATTGTACAAAATTTTAGGATAAAGGGACACATATGAATGACCATAAAAGTAGTGAGATCCTCCGGAAAGAGTGCTACTTAAAAGAGGAAGGAAGTGTGTTTGTAGGACCTTGTAGCAAAAACCACAGAGGGATGGCAGGAAAATGTAGGCAGAGAACTGAAAGGAGAGTGCGTACATGGGCGTGGTCACACAGTCTCTTTTACAGAAGTCTGTCATATTCTTGATGCTCATTCATAGTTCCCTGCAGAGTTGTCTGCTTCGCCAAAGCCAAGGGCACCAAACGGCTCCCTCTATGCCAGCAAGTGTTACACCCCCTGTTCACTATACCCTCAATCTGCTTTCCTTCTGCCACCACAGTCTGGTCCTGTACCACCCCTCTGTTCACACTGAGGTCTATACTGTCTGTCCTTCTCACACGCCAACTCCAAGTCATTTCTTTACTGCTCTGCACATTTGACGAGAAGATGCAAGCTTTATGGCTGGGTTTGTACAAACAAAGAGCCCAAAACCCAGGGACTTTTAAAGGAACCTGAGGACAATGCCAGCCTCACATTTCAAGTCAATATCATGTTTGGGACAAGCAAAATATCCTGTTAGGAGTACCGTATATTTGCAAATCAAATCCGGGCTGCTGAGAGTGTGCACATACAAATGACATGCACTCCATACACTCCCACGTGTTTTTCTGTACAAAGCTCTGTTCTCATTGGCACAATGAAAACAGCTTTCAAGTTTGAGCACTCGTGCCTCGACAGGGCTTACAGAACTCTGTCCTCGTCAAGATCCAATCACACCACCAAGTCACGTAGACAGACTCGGCTGGCCTATTGTGAAAGAATACTTGTTACTCTGCCAGATTCTCATATGCAGCTCTGTTAAAAATGGTGTATTGCAACACAAAACGGAGCTGCAGAGAAAGCATTTGCACACATACATGAGTAACACACTGTTTCCAGTCGGTTGAACAACAGGCAGCCCCCGTGTTTTCATAACTATTCTTCTATATTATCGTCTGTCATATTATTTTATATTCTATACCCATTCTGGTGACTGTGAACCCACAGGGATGTTGGGCAGCCCACTTGACTTGACCTAGAATCTAATGTAATTGACCTAGTTGGAGTCACCTTTAGCTAAACAGTTATTTCTGTCATGTGCAGTTACATTTCACAGCTAATGAGATTGTTGGGAATGATGGACTGTGGTTCTTAGACATTAGACATTCAGTAGTAATGGGATATTGTCCTCCTCATGTATGCATGTATGGCGCTAAATTAAATAACATTGAATAGTGGACTGTATGTGACTGGAATTAGGTCTGGTCTATGCAGCTGGACCACTTGAGTAGGGAAAGCATTGAGAGAAGAGATTATGGAGTAAAATGATACTTCCAAAATGAACAGGGGCTTCTGATAAATTTCTATTGTGATCTCTTGTTGAACAAGAGACAGCGCCCTATCGTCTCTTCATATCTCACCCGTCCATCAGCGTCCTGCAGGACTCGGGTGGCAAATTGTCATGCAAATTGTGGCCCCCAGAACGCTGATAAGGAGGCATCTCATTTCAGTAGGCTTTGTTTCCTAAACAGTGATGAGCTCAGTTAAGGAGAGTGCGGAAAGGGGCTTGAGCGCTTATCTGAATGCACTCTCTCTGTGGTGCCTACGGGTAAGTGGTGCGGGACGTTTTGATTGAGCCGTCTGAAAAGGGGAAGGGACAGGAGTCAGGTTCCCTGGCACAAACCAGGTTCCACATGTTAGAGCCTGAAGTGAGTCTTTCTCTCAGAGGCCCCTCCATTTAGGCAATATCCGTCAATGTTTGTTACTTGACGCCACATATGGTTTGTTCTTTTCTAAAGACTTGTCAGCAATGGGTCTGGAGCCTCATTTGCTGCTGTTATTATTGCATAAACAAAGAGGTTCATGGCACGTTCACAGGGTTTCTGTTCTTCCACTGACCCTGCGGCTTTCTTATTTTCTGGTCAAAGAGATTTGAGACCCACTGAAGAAACATTCTCTAGCCCCAAACTTTGTTTTAGATTGATTTGCACATTTGGCTTTTGGATTGGTTTTAAAACTAATGGAAAGCATACTTGCCTCCAGCAAACTGAGGCTTTCAAAGGAAGAATTTCAATGCGGATTTTCAATTGTCAAATATAAAAAGCATATGAAAAGCAGATGTCTAAGCAGCAGGCAAAAAAACGAAAAATAAAATATGAGTATGTCTCATATACTTTTGTTTGTGCCATGAGTGAGGTAGCGGGGTAGGCATAGCAGCTGTTGCCACAATGGTAATGGTCATCTTGGTCTTGAACAAGACTTGCCCTCAGGAGCAACTGCAACCTTCCCCCTTCCTAGTTTTTATCAAATTCCTCTTTTATGCTTCTTTTTCTTTTTGAAGTCCCCCTTTCTTGTAAAAGCCAAGCTGGTGGGTTTTGCCTCAACCTTGGGTGTGAGCGAGCAGTGGGGAGGGGTATGTAGGTTAAGTTTAGGCTAGTCTTCTATGCTTTCCATTGAAGGTATGAGGGGGAGGTGGGAGCAGTAAAAGTTAGAATTTTAGAGCCTCCCTGTTTTTTATTTTATGATTGGCTTTTTTTATGGGCTAGGAGCTACAGCTGGTGGTGTGAATAGCTGCCCAAGGTGACCGAGTCCCAATAAAGTGTGGGCCAGCCGGGCTGGGGCCTCTAGTCCAGCCATGGGACCGCCTTTATAGGCCGCCTTACGAGCCAAGGCCTCTATTAAAACCTGGCAGGGCTGCACTGAGGAATTTAGGGCCAGGAAACAAGAGAAAAATAGGGTTTGTGTGTCAAGGGGTGGTTGGATGCATAGAATGGGGGGGTTGAAGTTTGAGGGTGACCAAGGGTGAGAGTTGAAAGAAGTGTTGTTAGGTGAGAAGGGGGGCAACATGTGTGTCTGAGTTTGTGCAGGCTAGCATGTGTGATGAGGCCTGCTCTTATGAACATGTACGCAGCGGATTATGTTACTCGGCTGAAGCATGGAATCTATGCATTGGCGAGTTTATTGTGAAAAAAGTGTGTATAGGTTTCACTTGAGAGTACAATGAAGCATAATGTACCATAGCAGCTATTAGACTCAGGCTGTTCTACTTCCACAGAAAGCCTCAGCAGCTTCGTTCATGTGACGTGTAACACAGAATGCAAAAGAGATGTGTTGTAAGCGGTTGTCAGGCTCTGGAATGAGGAAGGGCTTGCTACGACTGCTGGCTGTAGCACTAAATCTTTTACCTGCTCTTATCACTAAACCTGTCAGTAACGCTATTTTATGCTCCTGTTTTGTCTCCTCTGTCACTCACTCATTCCTCCTTTTTCAGACTTTTTACACAAAGAGTCATGAGATTTATACTTGTTAACTTTTCCCCTTAGGGAAATAACTGTCGCAAAGAAATAGACTGATAATCACTTGAAATGTATTTGCCCAATCTTCTACATCTTCCTAAACAGATATCTGCTTGCGAATATCTATGGAGCAGCAGTATGTGTTGCTATCCTCATAGCAACATTTTAAACCATTGTAGAGCCACTAAACTTAGGTTGATACTTTCATACTGACCCAGTTTTTGTTTCTTGTCCACAGCGGTGGAGACACAGAGCACCAGCTCAGAGGAGATGGTCCCCAGCTCCCCATCTCCACCTCCTCCACCTCGTGTCTACAAGCCCTGCTTTGTGTGCCAGGACAAGTCCTCAGGGTATCACTACGGGGTCAGCTCCTGTGAGGGCTGCAAGGTGAGGAAAAACTGACACACCACACACTGCTATCAACATTGATATTACAGAATATATCATGTGTTCATGAATTCCTTGCGTATTTATATAAGTATATACACATTTTATTTAATTGTCTCTTTTGTTTTGATCTATATTTCAGGGTTTTTTTCGTCGCAGTATCCAGAAGAACATGGTATACACATGCCACAGAGACAAAAACTGTCAGATAAACAAAGTCACACGCAACCGCTGCCAGTACTGCCGTCTGCAAAAATGTTTTGAAGTTGGCATGTCCAAGGAAGGTGAGTTTGTTGAAAGAGAAAAAATTTATGAAGATTTAGATCTGCTTTCACATGTATAAGACTGGAATTAATCTATTAGTAATTATGCCACACCCTGGGAAACGATGAGATAAAGAGAACACTTGTGTTAATGGGTGGTGTTCAGGGTTAAGACAGGATTAATTATAATTATGAAAAAGCCAAATGTGGCCTAATTATGTGACGAGTCATGATATAAAATAAGTGTTAAGTTTCCTTTCTAATGGACGGCATGGTTATGTTACGTTGGCTGTCTTCCACAGTAGTAAAGCCTATATGCTTAAAGGTATTCTCCTCTAGAGTCCTTCAATGATATTGAACATTTATTTCTAAAATGCAAAAGGAAGAAATGGGATTGTGACATGTAATTTTCTGCCAGACATTCGCACTGTCATGATCCCATGATGGAAAAAGCCAAAGAACTTATCTTTAAACATAGATTGTTGAGGTGCGAGAGGGTACCCACATTTTTCCATCATTGTAACAGAGAAGCTTGTGGAGATGTTACAGGGGACTTCCATTGTACCATGATCCACAGGGTTTGACTCCAATAAGTCTTTCACTTCAGCCAAAACCCTCATCATCGTAATTTATTTATGCTTTGTATATGTTTTGTTGACTATTGTAGTCTGAATGAAGAAACTGAAAAAATAAACTAACTTAATAGCTAAAATTAAAACTGATGGCAAAGGAAGTTTACCAAAATTGACATCAGTTCCAAACAGTGGATGCTTCCCAACATTCCCACTTACCTCCTGGAAGCACTTGCATCAAAGAATCCAGGGCTGATTTTTGAAGTGATCAACAAAGTGGAGAACTGTTGTTCTAAAAAAAAAAATACATATTACATATTACATATTACATAAAAATACATATATATATATATATATATATATATATATATATATATATATATATATATATATATATATATATATATATATATATATATGTATTTGTTTCACTGTTAATGTATATATATATATATATACATTAACAGTGAAACATTCAAATGATTTAGACTTTTGATCAAGCGTGTATGTGGGTGTGATGTTTGTGTGGGATGTGTGTTAAAACCGGGATCACATTGTGCCTTTGCTATTACTGGATATCCTGAGAGGAAGGAAAGTATGGGAGGAGGGGGTTTGGAGAGACGCAGTTTAGTTGTGATTTTTTTTCTTATGTTTATATTGTTGTCTTCACGTAGCGGTGCGTAATGACAGAAACAAAAAGAAGAAAGAAGTGAAGGAGGAGGTGGTGCTTCCAGAGAGCTATGAACTCAGTGGTGAACTAGAAGAGCTGGTCAATAAAGTGAGCAAGGCGCACCAAGAAACTTTCCCGTCTCTCTGCCAGCTTGGCAAATACACCACGGTAAGTTATACAGTGAATGCTGTGTAAGCTGTTTAGTGTGGTGCTACCATATTTACCATAGCGTAGCCAACACAGTGGGCTTGAGCTAACAAATTCAGTTTTCCATTGGCCATCTGTGTGGCCTGGGGATGATTGATAAAACATGTAAATAGATTTTGTCCTTGACTGATGTAAAATGTAAATGTGCTGTCCATGCTTTGTCTGCACACAGAACTCAAGCTCAGATCACAGAGTGCAGCTCGACTTGGGGCTTTGGGACAAGTTCAGTGAGCTTTCAACTAAATGCATCATCAAGATTGTGGAGTTTGCCAAGAGATTGCCTGGATTCACCACTCTCACCATCGCAGACCAGATTACTCTGCTCAAGTCGGCCTGCTTGGATATTCTGGTACAAAACTATTCTTTGACATAGTGCTTGTCCAGCGATTGTAGATTGTAGAAATGCTGCCATCTAGTGGATGTAAAATACACTTCACACATGTCATTTTTGGTGCTTTCAGATGCTGAGAATCTGCACACGTTACACTCCAGAACAGGACACTATGACGTTCTCTGACGGGCTGACTCTAAACAGAACTCAGATGCACAATGCTGGCTTTGGACCACTCACAGACCTGGTGTTTGCCTTTGCCGGTCAGCTTCTGCCTCTGGAGATGGACGACACAGAAACTGGCCTCCTTAGTGCCATCTGCCTCATTTGTGGAGGTACTGCAACATCAAATCGGATTACTTGATCACAATGCAGTATCGTGCTTTTTGTTTTACAAACTGCATTTAATACAGTGAAATATCTAAATATGACATCTTTCCTTAGATCGTATGGACCTGGAAGAGCCTGAGAAAGTGGACAAGCTTCAGGAGCCTTTGCTGGAGGCACTGAAAATCTATGCCAGACGAAGACGCCCCAACAAGCCTCACATGTTCCCCCGAATGCTCATGAAAATCACAGATCTTCGGGGAATCAGCACCAAAGGTCAATACTAATATATAAGTGTGTTGTCAAAGTTGTCTGCTTGTCTGAAACCATAAGGTTACACTGGAAATCTTGACCCTTGAATGATAACATATGTTGTCTGTGTTCAGGTGCAGAAAGAGCCATCACGCTGAAGATGGAGATCCCAGGGCCAATGCCTCCATTAATCAGGGAGATGCTGGAGAATCCAGAGGCCTTTGAGGACCAAACTGAGAGCAACGACAGCCCCCCTCCTCCCCCTCCACCACCTCCTCCGCCTCCAACGGTGGTGGTCAAACAGGAAGCTGAGGATGAGGAGGATAGCTGGGCTACGGAGAACGGCAGTGAGCCATCTCCAGAAGAGGAAGAAGAGGATGACGATGATGATGTGGGGGATGACGAGCGGGATAGGTGTTCGGACAGTGATGGAGAATCCTGGGGACCATTGGAGCCCTTAGATGGCTCACGGAAAGGCCTTGGTGCGAGGGCACAGTAAACATTTTCATTTAAAAACATCAATGTTGTTCTAAAGACTCACTGTGCTCAGAGAACAGAATCAATCACACTTTCACCTCAAAGATGCTGGCCTTTCCTCCCCCTCTCTTTGCACATCAGTGTCCCCAGCTGCAGGGCACAAAGAGCCTTATGTGTACAGACACTTCTAACTCAGGCCACATGGTCCATGACATGAACTACAAGCAAACTGTAAACTTATGGCATAGCCAAGAGGGAATGAGCGCAACAAGAAGCAGATATTCTCTGTGAGAAAACTACGTTTCCTTTTCTCTGTTGTTAGTCTTTATGTCATAGTAGGGAATTGGCCAAACCATATACCAGCAAGAGACGCTGTCGGATAACAACAAAGCACATTGGTCGTAGGAAAACAAGAGTACAGGGCAAAACCAAATTGAGTATGCTAATCTATATTGTTGGGGTTATTGCATTTGAATATTGTTTTCTATTTTTTCTTCCATTTTATGAATAAGTTCTTGCATATCTTCTTGTATAACATTATATTTTTGTTTTTATTTGTTCTGGTTTTATGTATCAACCCTCTGGACTTTAATAAGCTTTTCTGTTACATTATTCAGAGGGAAAGAACAAGGGTATTCAAAACTATTTGTCTTCCTTAACTGTATGTTTAGCAGGGGTTTATATAGGCACTTTTGCTCTCTTAGGATGTCATCACATGATATCAGCATCAGCTATTATTGTGTCACATTAACACCATTCATTTGATCAGGGAATCAACATGATATAGTTTCAGTCGGCGTATGTGGTCATAATTGTGCCAAAGTAATAAGTCATTATTGGAAAAAGCCTTCACTTCACTCTCCTGCACACTAATGAAGGTACCCTTCCTCAACAGTAATACACACTCCTTTTTCTATTCTTAGCTGTTACAAGTGTGCCAACCTGACATTAAATTCTATTACAGAATCATCACTTGAACATATATGTAGCACTTTGTGATATTCAAGTAAGGCACACGGTCTTCCAAGAGTATGTTTATGTCCATCTACAAACAAACTTTGAGCACTCCCAAATGATGTCACATGACAGGACGCACACAGGACTCACGTACAGTCAAGCAAATCCTCTTTGTCTTATGCAATTCTCCAAGACATATGCAAGAAGTGAACAACAGGAATCCTGTTTAATGACAATATGGAATCTGACTCAGGGCTTTTCATTTGGACCAAACCCTAGCAGTTTGCATGCTAGAAACTGGTAATATTTATAAGTGTATTAAGTTTTAATCAACTCGGTTACCTTTTTTGTGTATATACCTAGAAGGTGACAGAAAAATGGAGTCAAAAAAACATTTATTTAGAGGTCATACACCGATGCTGCCCAGCTTCCATGTGCTTGGCACTGGCATTCCTGCAGCAAACTGCCTTCTCGTCCAAAAAGCCATTATATCTTGTGTTTTTTGTGAATATCCCCACTTCTCTTAAAAAAAGAAAAAAAAAAAGCTCTATGTGGAGGGTTGTATGTGTTCTAATGTACCAATTTCTTTATTGCCAAAATGTCTGGCTAGGAAAGCACAGATGATATACAGGGGCTTTTTTGCCTCTCTTTGAAGCAATACAGACGTGTTTCTGTAGCAGTGAGAGTTCCCTTCTCAACATAGGCAGGTCTCATCATTGTTGAGTGTGCGTATGTATGAATGCTGTTACGTTTTCGCCATGGAGTGAATGTTCTGGTTGGTGCTGTCATATGAGCGGTGTGATATCCTCATTGCTTTTTGTTATTCTATTGTTTTGTTAGTTCTTGCGACATGGCCAAGCTGTTGTTATCTCTGTTTATGTCATACAAAGAAAAGCCATATAAACAGAAACAATAAACTTTTGAGATATTATTCAACATGTCTCTCTTTACTTTTTTTGCATATATTATGAGCTATGCTGTGAAGTTCAGTTGATGAGATGAAGTAGTATTTCAGGATCTTTCAAAATTATGGGAAGTTGTTTAACCATAGCGATTATCAAAAGTAAAAGATTTGTTCTCATATTGCATATGAGACACAGTGGAAACCCATATATAGCATTAAACCCCATGGTGCAACAGCTCTCCTCAAAAAAGTAGACCCATTTCCATTATTTTGTATTTGTGTGCGTAGAGCCCGATCCATAGCGTTCTCTAGATCTATAATTTGTTGGAATTATTGCATTTAAAAAAACATACAATAACAATATTTTTCTCAGGATTTTTTTTATTGTATGATTTTAATACTGATACATTACAGTAGAGGGCGCTCGTGTACCACTCTCCACATGGCCGCTCTGAGAAGCCGTGGTCAGCGGATTGTTAGGTGGTGAAGTCACAGAGCCCTCCTCCCCCATCCCAACCTTTTTGCATAGTGTGTTGTCTTCCCTCACGAGAATAATAATAAGGATTGTAAAGTGTTAATGCGATGTAGATGCAGTTCATGAAGAAAACAAACATGTAGTCTGCATGTTCCATATACTCCTCATAGTTTTGTCTGTCATTACCAAAAGTATTACAAAAGTGAAGTCAAACCTTTAGGTATCTATAGGTTCCTGATTCACTCTGATTAAATAATAGAGGCTAATATGTTTATACTGTAGGTTAGGGTTAGATACTTCTAAAATATACCCAAAAAATAAGGATTAGAAAACTTCACCCAATGGTAGTAACAAATTATCAAATCATTAGGTCCTGAATACAGAGCACGTTCTGCACAGCGCCCAAGCTTCACACGTGTTTTCTCTTATTTTTATTATTATTTCAGTAGTGTCCTATGAAGCATAGCCCATCGAATTTCTTTTAGAAGAAACACAGCACCCAAAGAGTTATTATTTGATTATTATGTTTTTGATTAGGCCTTAAAAAAGCTTAAAGTCTACACTGCTGTGACGAGCGTCACCTTGGTTTTTCAAAGCCACAGAAAGAATCTCTTCAGAGTTTATCACTGTACAGATTCTATCAATCATATGATTGCTTTAATTAACACGGATTAACATTATGCACAGATCAATGACAAAGACATTCAAGACATGAATTTCAAAAAGGCCCATACATTATTCACTATTTTACAAGGGACAATAAAAGAGGCACATATATATTGCAAGGATAGCGTTGCCATGGGAACTACAAGGAGAACCAGGATGTGTTCATATTGTTGGCCTTTTTCAACTACAATACCAAGACATACATTTATAAGTGTTAGGCCGAGTGTTAGACTTTTTTAATTTGACCAAAAAACAAATGATCCCTAATCAATCAAAACAAAAGCAATTTAATACTGCGAATAAGACGTGAGAATCAATGACTATTATTTGGAATCTACCACTACTGCCCATTTCCCACAATGTTTAACTGGTTCAATAATATGAATTATTATTGGAAACAGATCAGGATATACATGTGTGAATGAATACAGCTTCGTATCGGTCCAAAGATGCAAGGTGACAGGAAGGTTAATGTCTCTCCTTGTGCCAGCAGCGAGTCTTAAACAAAAGGGTACAAAGGAGAAGGTGTCTAACTGGAATGAGAATGTGGTTTGAGGCATCGGGGATCAAAATGAAAATAAACAGGTAAGAGGCAGAGGGAGGTGAGGATGGGAGACATGTCATAAAAAAATCTGAAATGCATTCTGGCCTCTGGGTCTTCATATCTTTTACATTTCTAATTAAAAGAGATAAAGAGTGAGGGAGTCATCAATCCCACAGTGATTTCCCAGTTAAGGTTTTAGAGGGGGCTGTAAACTCGGCAGCCTGGCATCATTGATTTTATAATTAGCTATAGTCAACCCCAGACTTAAGATGGAGTATGAGACGGTATGAGACGGAGAAGATTGAAAAAGAATGTGTAGGATTGGTGTGACACAAACATGAGGGTGCTGATAGTAAAGTCTACCCTGCACCCCCCCCCCCCCCGAGTCCTAAGCCAAGAGGTAAAAAGCTCTAAATGTGGGTGAAGAAATGCCATAGTTAATTATCAGTGAAATGTCAAGCAGCAGAATGTTGCTGTGATCTTTGGCCAGAAAAGACACCAACGCAATTGGGATACATAAACCATTTTATTATTTAGAGCCCCAGCCACACCCTGTTACACTTATAAGAAAATACAAGTAACCTCGATACACATAACCTCAAAATAAACCATAACCACTGGTGCTTTATTGCAGCTGGCACAGAGCCCTCAGCGGCACCACAAAAATAACAACTTCCTCGGGAAAAGAACGCAACACTAAACATAAATAAATGAGAACTCATGAGACTTTGATCCACACAATAACCTTAGTGTTTACATAGCGATGGCACTGATGGAAAATGACTGAAATGACCTTAACAATGATTTAAAAGGATGTGAGAATCATAGGAATACATGCATAATCAACACACATCAGATATTAAGTGGAAAACAATAAACAAACATCAAAAACAATCATTCTAAGGAATATAATAAGTGTACATTCTGAAAGAGCTGAAATGTGATATTTTCTATAAAAATACTAAACTATAAATTATTGCAGATATCGCTCTTCATAGATTATATTAGAAAATTATATTAAAATGTATGCAATTAATAGTAAATAACATGTTTTAGGCACATTCAGATATTTTGTTTAAATATTCTGTATTCAATTATTTATCTACATAATTATATGTATATGTTCAATTGTTAAGAATATGTGAAAATATCTTTTAAAACCGCAGTGGGTGCAACGGAGCAGTCATCACATCTGTTCCCTTTTCCAGCAAAGCTCAACGTCTTTGAATGAATCTCTCAAAACCATGTCTCTGTCATGATATAAGACAAGCTTCTGCTTCAACACAACTTTTGTACAAAACATCATATTTACACCGCCTGTTGTAACCCCTAACAACAAACATCATAAATATGACATAATATTCATCGTAAAGTTTTAGAATTGCAATGATTCAACACAGTTTGCTACTATACACTGATCATAGAATTGCCAGAGTCTTTCGCTTCAGTTTTATGTGATGTTTGACTTTATATCACGTTCACCCTGAATAACAAAGGCATAAGCAGAGAAGTAGTGGATCAAATGCATAACCAGGTGCTGGCGGCTCGTGTGCTGTTTTACTTTGTTTACTGGTTACATGGTTGTGGTCCCAGTCCTCTGTGCTGTAACCAGTCACCTGTGCTGTAACCAGTCACCTGTGCTGTAACCAGTCCTCTGTGCTGTAACCAGTGGGTTACCAAAGTGCAGTGTCAGCCAGATCACTAGAGACAGACAAAATGCATAGTGGTTTAAAACAAAAGTGAAAGAAATAGACCATTTAGTCAAAGAGGAGGTGAGACTGAAAGAGTAGATGAGTGGGAGAGTGAAGGCTTTAATGATGCTGAAAATTGGCCCGTGACTGCGCTACAGCCCAGACTTAAATCACTGCTACTGCCTGCTGTCAACTTATCTGTCCCCTTGTCCTCCCACTGTGCCCCTCCCCTGGCCCAGTTCTGTCTCAGCGTCTCCTCTTAACTTCTTTTATGACCACATATTCAAAACTTCCATCTTCTAGTCATTCTCACTCCATGATCATAAATAATCTGGACTGTTTCCATATTATTTGAAATTTCTTGCATCGCTAAAATATTTGACTATTTGATGAATGAACGAATTATCACTTGGGAAAAAGTGACTTGTTTTGTGTTACATGAGTTAAGTTTCAAGGCATAATTATATTCCCTCGGAACATCCACAGAGCACACTCATAAAATATAGCAGAGGCTTGACCATAAACTTCTGCTGCCAAAACCCCAACATTATTTGTACACTTCTGTATTTGTGCCAGGTTCATGCAGACCTGTTTATGTCTGTGACATACCTGAGAATGGAGTCTGCGTGATCAGGGAGCAGAAGAGCCATTTCCTCTCCAGAACTTTGTCTTAAATACTGCAGTCTATCCATTTCCTCCTCCTGAACACACCAACACACACATTATATGTAAGAGCTATTACCGACTAATAACATTCAGCACTGAACTAATTGCTTCTTGGAGATAACGTCTGACTGTGTTTTACCGATAGGCATAAAGATGTAACTCATTTTCATGATCATTCGTGTCGTAATTGGACCATATCATAGATGGATAGTCTTACCGAATCAGAGCTGTGAGCGAGGGTGTCTGAGCTGTTCTGATGGGGGGAGCAGAGGGGGGCAGGCTGCTTGATGACCACTGGGGACTGTGGGGGGGCATCCAGCAGTGACAGAGGCTGGCTCTGTCCATAGAGGGCACTGACTGACTGGAAGGCCTCCGGGTTCTCATCTTCACAATCTGAGAATAAATATGACTTTCATATAAATATGTTTGAAAATATTTAAAAATTAACTGTCAGTATTTTGGTGGCAATAATACTATACAAGGCCAAAAATCTTTTATCAACCCTTTAGGCGACAAAGTAGCAGGATTTCTACATGACATCCAGGACATTTCCTTTACAGCGACCCGACTTCCAACAAACATTTACGAAATTTTTTCCCCGTAATTGATTTGAGTAGTAATCCATTTCCCTTAAAGTTCTGAAACAACACAATGCAATTAAGCAGAACTACTTTCTTTACTCCTTTGTCTTATTAGAAGAACCTTTGAAGCCTAAACATAAAAGAAGACAATAAGAACATTTGGATTAACACAATATTTTGTGTTAAAAAATAAACATTATGCTCAATATTAAAATTGTGCATATTGTATATTGTCTAAACGAGCAGAAATTACAGCAAACATCAGGCTCAACATAAAACACAGTATAAGTGTGTTATTTTTACTGATTACAGTAAAGGTTCAAAATAAGCATTCATTTTGTTTAGCATTTATCTTTATGGATTGCCACATTATTGTCTACATTGGAATTAAATAAAACGAAACAACAAATGACACAGCGACATTCATCAGGTTTTTTATTTCAGTCAGCTGGAACAATGCAGCCTGTGTAATTCTGCTGAACTCACCGATAGAAAGCAGAGAAGCGCTCCACTTGGCACCGGTCACAGTGGTCACTGCTCCCATCTTCTGCTCCAGCTCACAGACGTACTCCATCAACTCCTTAAGTAGAAAATACTGTTATTGTCCCACCACCAGCAGCTGCACACTTCATGCATCACCCTCATAACCCAGACTGATCAGAGATAGCATCATAAAGTCAATAATGAATCACCAGTTGATTTGGGGAGAATAAAATATGACACACTCTAAACTCTAACGGTAAAACTATATATAATGTAATCATGTAATCAACTGTACTGATCCACAACAGCTTATTGAAAGCATTCTAGGAAGCATTCGTATTGTCTTTGTATCACAGACGATAAAGCGTGTTGTAAATAAAATAAAATATTAATAACTAACCCTTTTCTCTGTTTGAAATAGCTCTTTCTCCTTTTGTGTGACTCTCAAACTGGTCTTCAGCTCCTGCAACTCCCGCCGAGTTTCATTGAGCTGGACCTGCAGAAAATAAATAGTATAAAATCAAAGCCCCAGTGAAGTCAGATGTAATCACATGTGTTTCTACCCTGTTGCAGTCCTTTTCCCGCCCAAGCTCTACGTCCAGCTTTACTCTCTCCATCTTCTCCTCTTGTATGCTCTCCTGCAACTTCTGAACTTCTCCATGTAGGTTCTCAATGAGCTCATGATCTTCCTATTGTGATAAAGAAACAGATTTTATTTCAAATATAATTAAAAATGTTCCTAGGAAACACAAATGTAAACTGGGAAGTGTCATAAATGTCTTTTCTACTTTGATGGCCATACCTCAGTACATTGCTGTAGCCTTAGGCTCTCTTGGGCCCAGTGGGCTCTGCCCTCTCTCAGGGCCAGACTAGACTCAGCCAGCTGAAGCGTGAGCTGTGCAGCCTGCAGACGGGCCTGGTGCAGCTCAGCCTGGCCCAGGTCTCTCTGTGCCACCATGGTGCTTAGGTCATGTCTTAGTCCCTCCGCTGTGCGTTCGCTCACACTCACACGCTCCCGTAACAGCCGCATGTCCTTCATCACTGCCTCACTCTCTGCCTGATGGAACATGGACATTGTCAACTCTACATAACACCATTTGTATTTTGGGATCTCATTATCCCCAAGAAAAGATGCTGACCTCTTTTCTATGGGCAATCGTGAGCTTCTGGGTGAGGGTTGAGATTGTATTTTGAAGCTGAAGAATACTGGTGTCTCTTTGGGCCAGTGAGTTTCTTAATCCCTGGAACTCTTTGGACAAGCTTCGAAGCTCTGCTTCAGTTTGTTCTAACTTGATCTAAAACAAAGTGTAAAGTTTGAGACATAAATAAATGTTTTGACATGGTTGATAATTTACCTGAAGGTTGACTCTCTCACTTTCCTCTTCTTTCATCTGAACTCCTGCTCTCCTTGCTCGTTCTTTCATCCTGTAAACACACATTAGTGTGAGTTAGATATAATGCAGTCTGTAAACATGAAAACAAATACCTCTCCAGCTCCACGTCTCGTTCCACTGTCTTCTCTGTTAAGACTCTGATGTCCTCCTCCAGCTCTCTGATCCGCTGCTCACACATATGTTTTGCCTCCATTAAAGCACATTTCTCTTGAAGCAGTGATTCTTCCAAAGAAGTTTCTTTCTGAATATGAAAGATATGCCATGGTCATTTTCAGAAGACTGGTAAATCATAATCAGTAATAATAATTAATAATAATAATACAACACGCATTAATGATTTTACCCCCATAAAAACTACACCAAAGTAAAGCACTAGGATAGAATGTAAGTTTTCAATAAGAATGGTCTTGTGCCAGCGTGAACACAACAGCTGCATACATTTATTTTAGTGTGTGCTTGTGTGCACCTTTTGCAGTTCCTCCATTTTGTCTTGTGCTTGCTCCAGCTCCGTCTGTAGTCTAGAAATTTCCATCTCATAATTACTGCACTGCTTGTCCCATAAATGCTTGGCCTTTTTAAACTCCTCCTTTTCTTCTTCTCTCAGCGCACATGTTTCCTTTTGCAGCAGCAGCAGCTCTCTGCGCTCGTTCAAACATTCTTGGAGGTGACTCTGAACCCAGAAAACAAATAAATGAATGAAATACAAGAGTGAGGCCCACAGTGGTTCAGTACCTGCAGTAGTTCAGCTCTGGGCACCACCAGCAGCAGGTCCTCTCCATGAGACTCTTCCTCCAGCGTCACTAGTTCCTCTAATGGTTTTGGGGCAGAAAAGGTGAAAGAGGAGCTGCGGGAGCACACCTCACCCTTGGCGTCAATGTACACAAACTCATACTGCGTAGGGCTGGCACCGGGCAAGTAGGACGCTGTAAAATAACATTGGAAGCTTTAAGATACTTTCTTTTATAAGTGAAATTATAACATGTGGATTATGCTGTCAACATTCTGAAATAAAACATCTATGATCAAAATAATGCTTAGATATGTCATATCAACGGCAGGATGATGAGGGCATGGGGCTAGGATTTTCAACACTAAATACACTTTGCAATAATAGAATATAATAAAGAATACAATAGCAGTTAAACTTCTCTATAAAGAACTCTTCCACATGTCTCACCAGGACCACAGGACTATGTTGTCTGCATTTCATGAAAGACCAGCACAAAGTGACAAATATGGAGATAAAGCAAAATATAAATATGAAGTATGTTTTATTTATCTTGCATATATTAAGTGTGGTGTTCAGAGGTATTCATTGCGATAATTTTACAAACTTTATGCATCTGGAGAATTACATTATTTTTCTTTGTTTGCAAAGAGGAAAAGGTTCATAACAATATACGGAGAGTTTGTGAACAGCTTTTCCGTTTGATTTGATTTAAGTCTGGTATTTGACTGGGCCATTCCAACACATGGTTATGTTGTTTTAAAATGAATTCCACTGCGTTAAAAGGCTTTATGTTTAGAGAAATGATTGTAATGGTAAATAAACCACCTCTTACACATCCGAGAAGAAAAGCAGCCCCACGGCATAATGCTACCACCAGGTTGGAGTGATCACGGTGATAGCTTTTGCACCAGTGTTTTTCATTATAACACTGTAATAATAAAACAGTATAAAATAAATAACATTTAATTATACAATTAAATAAATATGAATTTAATTATAATAATATTGTCTATATTACACTGTACAATACGTATCTGCTAAATATATCCTGATAATTAAGATTATAGTGGTATAGCAGGGTTAAGACATATGGAACCATTGGACCCAGGTTCAGCAAAGGTTGACTTCTAATAGGCACCAGCCCCTCACTGATCCTCCTGCAGGTGGTGAGTCCACAGGAGCTGAGATCTTTCAATGGGAGCACAAGTGTCACTGATAATTCACTAGTAACTTTGTCACTTGTCCTGTTATCAGTACTACTGCATTATTACATATCTGATCATTCTGCCTTTCACCAGTCACTTTACCTGTTGATATTTGACTGTATTATTCATATCCATCTGATAATTCTCCCATTCAAGTAACTTTATCTGATATTATTTCTGATGTTTATTCTGCTCATATTCATATTCTCATATTCTCCGCTGCTAATGTATAATATAGACATCTGTTAATACTTCCGAACCAAGTGCAATTATAGCCCAGAGTTTATCTCATTTTATTTTAATCTTAATTTTATTGTCTATTATCATAAATAATAGACTCAATTTGATGTGTGCAATCTGAGTGCTCTTATTTCCTTTCTCTGCTGTAATGTGCGCAACGATGACACTGAAATTCCTCCGCTGTGAGACTAATAAAGGTTTATCTTATCTTATCTTACAATTTAGAAGTTCATTTATCTCAAATGACTCAGTAAGTAACACTGTAATGGGTATTACTGCTTTAAATTCCATTAATGTCACAATTTGATTTCACACATACACAAAATAGATTGTTGCCTTTTCATTAATTTCACATCACAGTTTGGAAAGATTGATATAATTTAGTGAATGATGTGGTGGGTAGGGGGCGTTTCGTCCAGTGTAAGGGGGAAATATATATATAGTGATCCCTGGTCTCTTGGCGCAGTGAAGAGTGACAACATGCTGCTTTGTGACATCAATCCCTTGAGTAGAAAGGTCACGTCTGTTCTGTCCCAAGACCCTCACTGCTGTCTGGTCAGTTTACAGCAGGAGTCTCCAACCTTTTTCAATTGGGGAGCTACTTTAATACAAATGATAAGGCAGAGAGCTACTCCTTTTTGCAGTCGTAACAAAAATCTATCTGATAATTACGACAAAACATGGAGAACACATGATAAATATACCATAATGCTGTAAAGCCATATATTTTTTACTATAATACATATGCAATGACTCAAAATGTATTCATTCAAGATCATTTGTTATATTCTATATCCTTTGGCGAGCTACTGGTAGCCAAAGGTTGGAGACCCATGGTTTACAGCAACAGGTAAAAAGGTAACGTATAAACAAAATGAGATAAAAGGTTTATTTGGAAAGTCTCAAATTGGTATGTTTTTTTTGGCTGTGGGTTTATTGGCAAATCAATACAAATACATTAACACAAACATTCATATTTCAAGTGTGACGTAATACCCTGGAATTGTACGCAGCAGTTGAACTCTTTGCCTTCCACAAAGTCACTCGGTGCAAGAGCCCAGACAAATGTTTGGTAAGCTTTCACAGAAGACCACCCCACCTGAAAAACACAAAGCACCTCATTAGAATAAATAATCTTAGTTAAGGCATGTATCATTTGCGTTATTTCAGCCTAACCTGAAAAAGCCCGATCCAGTCAGCACCGGCCCAGCTGTGGTTGGGGCTCACCGTGTAGTGACAGTCCACTCTACTTTCAGGGAAATAACTGCAGCTGGTGTTTCTGAACTCCACTGGCCAAGGCTTTTCCATTTCAACACTAAACAGAAAGAAATCATTATCACCTGTTTTTTCAACACTCAACGACCATTTTAGTAATCGAATAATACATGCAAGAGCGGTGAGAATTTGTTTGGAAATATTATTATAAAGCTTCACTTAAAAATTTAGATCAGAATGATAAATGTAAATATCTAATATGCTCAAGATAGAGATGTTATACTTGTTTCTTCTTTATGCTAGAGTTAGAGATTTTATTTTATTTAGTATAGAGTTATTGTTCATTTATCTTGTGCTGTGTGCTACTCATTCCTACTGCTCTGTAACTAGTGATGCAACACTGAAATTTCCCCACTGTGGGACGAATAAAGAATCGCTTAATCTTAATATATGCATTCAAAACTACTAGGCGATTATCTGAAGGAATAGTCGCTATATTATTCAATTATTCGATCGTCAAAATGAAGATCTACATGGTTTAACATTTAAATATAATATAAAAATGTGTAGAAGTGTGACCTTGACAACACATGCCAACAAAGCTATTTTAAAGTCTACCCAACCCGTTTTGATCGTCACGTGTACAGAAGGTGTAAAGGGCCTCTCACATGTAGTTCACATGAGAGTGAGAAGAGTCTACATATTAAACTTCTAATAATGAAATGGTTCTGGCGCGTTGCGTCACGATGAAACTGGCTCGCATGGACTGTTAAACAAAAGCTAATATTCAGATATGATCTATTATCTATCTAATTGGTTTTAAATGTTATGACTGTGAAGCACCATGGGTTGCACTCTAATTGAACTGTGCTACAAAAATAAATGTTGATTGATATTTACTTAAAACCAAAGGTCATCTAAAAAAAAAAAAAAAAAGTATTTCTATTTTGTTTAAATCTTGATGACGCTGGTCTGTGGTAGATAGGCATAGACTTTCTGCAGGATGTGAAATGTTGTTTGTGTTTTCCAAGGCCTTTCGTGTCTAGATGCTTTTTTTTCCATTTAGGCCCCAGGTGACGTGAGCATCCAGCAGGCGCGTTACAGAATCCTCCAAACATAACACAATGTTGCAGCAATGCTATCAAGGGAAGATGAAGAAGAAACTCTGTGACAACACATCTCTTAAATGTGCAAGCCGAGAGGACAGGAGTTTGGCAGGTGGGAAGACAACACATCGAACTAAAGTGTGGGAAAAGACTCCTTCTGTTGCTTTAAGGTATCGAGCAGCCATAAGGCTAACAGAGCACATGCCCAGCGAAACTAAAAGTGTCCAAAGTAGCTTAAAAATAAGACACAACATATACATTCGGCAGACTATTATCGCATTGACAGTATTGAACGTGCAATTCCACAGATATTGTTCAATAGCCATGCTTTGACGATTAAGTTAAAAGGAACCTAGGCTTCTGAAAATGCGCACACGACTGTCGACAGTGTAGCCTCTCTTACCTTTGTCGCTCACGCAATAAAAGTCTGATTAAGTCATCTATTTAAACCAAGTGTGGCCGATACTGGTGTCTACCACGAAACTCCGTTTAAAGGCACGACGTCGGTGTTTAGCAGTGAGCTTTTGTCCACGCAAAACAATAACAAACACGCGTTGGAAACATGAGCACGTCAACCTCACTTTTCCAGATGGCCTCTGGGAAATGTAGTCCTGTATCACAGTTGAGGAGCGCTGCAGTTATATGTGTGAACTACATGTCCCAGTCCAGCCTACCCTCCACCGCAAGCTCCTTTCTGAAGAAATTCGACCGTGTGATTGAGGTGAATGTCTCTCTCAGGTCCTGTAGGTTCACATCCCCGCTGCCGCCTGCGCATCACCTTTATCTGCAGACTTCAAGTAGTAGTAGTAGTAATCTTTATTTATATACCGCCTTTTCACTGCACATCGGAGTCTCAAAGCGGTTTACAATTGTGATTTTTGGGATTGGGGGTGCCAGTACAGGAGGCACATGCCAGACCTATTGTACATATTTTTAGTGGTAGGGGAAACCGGAGAACCCGGAGGAAACCTACGCAGACACGGGGAGAACATGCAAACTCCACTCAGAAAGGCCCTGGTCCAACCGGGATTTGAACCTAGGACCTTCTTGCTGAGAGGCGAGAGTGCTATCCACTCAGCCACCGTGCCGCCCTGAATTCCTAAAGCCGAAGTCTTTCGTGCGTGCGCCATTATAATTGTCCCCGTAGGTGGACATATTTTAAGTGTTTCATTCGCAGAATTGGCTACTTATTTCGTATGTTGAAGGAGGGACACGTTATTGAACAGCAGGGGGCAGTAACCGACTTCAGCTTTTACAAGACGATTGAACTGTATGGCAGTGAAGGAGTGTAACATACATATTAGTGTAGCATATATAATAGCTTTGTATTGTGTTTTTTGGTCTACTTTCATAGACACATGTTATTTTCACTTTTTATACAAAACAAATAAATGTATATATAATATGTATTTATTCTTTACTCCAGCCTAGCATCGTCTGAGTGCAGAGTGACACCATGGATTGTAGCTCAGCACATGGGAGGTATGTGGCATTGGTCATTGCCATGCTTTGGCATGAGAGCCATCACTGCCCAGGCTGTCTCCGGTGTAAATGATTCAAGAGGCATGACAGCATATACCTGATTTATTATCATGAAATTAGTGTGTTTTTATTTTGAATTTTGTTTGCTATTGTTCTGAATATAAGAGTGTGAAAAAAAGCTTCAATAAATCTGGTGACACTTCAATATCCAGTGGAAGGGTTGAAAACAAAGGAAGCTGCAGTAGTGCCTAGAAGGTAGAAGGACGGTATAGTGGAGGGATGGGGGACGTAGGTATTTAGTATGCACGGCCAAACTGCCCCATCTGCTTAGCGCAGCACACCCTGTCGTATAACTGTCTGCAGGCCGTGGGCCACATAAAGAATGTCTCAGATTTGATGTAATTCCGCAAAATTAATGACAGCTTTACTCAGTATAGGCCGTGAGGGAATGATTAGTGTTTGATCGTCCATCTGATCAGATCCCTGGTTGGCTCCTGCAGAGATGCTGCTTTGTATGTGAGATTTTGGATGTGGCTGCAAACATATACACCTTTCCAAAAACGGTTCTGAGCTACCCTGCTCTGTTTATATTTCTGTTGGGGGATTTCCATCTCTCTCACGGCAAGCCAACATCCTGTTAACTTTGTGTTCTGATACATGACATCAAAACGAACAACTAGTGATGCGCAGGCGGCAGGTCCCAGTGGAGGTGTGATTGTGCAGAGGGTCGTTTATATATCAGCCTCTGCAGTATTTCAAAGGAAAGTGGGACAAGCAACATTCAATTTAGAAAACTCAGAGGTGACACTGTGACCTTTTACAAGCTAATGCTTTACTGCTGCTGTGATTGGAATTTGGTATTAGTTTTAAAAGAGATGGGAATTGGATTGAAATTGATCCTGTGGATGGATTGTTGGGCTTGAAAAAGTCGAATTCCTTTCTTCCTATTAATTTAGACCACCTTGGCTGACCCCACCCCTTGGGCTTAGACTAGTGCCTTTACAAGCAAAGGGGGCATCTTGTTTTTATAGGAGGGCTTTGTGCGTCTCTGTGTGTAATATTAAAATTGAACCTGCTTTATCTCTGGAAAGTGTGGTGTTGTAGACCAGAAATGATAGTGCTACTGTCATGAGAACCTTCTTTATCCCTTGTGCTACCCTCGGGTCAAAATGACCCACCACAGATGATTAAAAGTAGAATAAACATACCCTACATCAGGGTCTAAAAGGGTTAGTCAAGTTAGGAAAAATCTTCAAAATTCAGCTTGACATTTTTTATTCACTGTGGCGGGTAAATTTGACCTGAGGATAGCACAAGGGGTTACATTTTGTAATGTGGTAAATTGGACAATGATGTGATTAAACACATGATTTCAGTGGGAGACACAATTTTGTTTTTAAAGAGAACATTTTAATGTTAGAATTGGTGTCAGTGAATGTTTGGTAACTTTGCTGAGTTGCAGTGCAAAGCTACTATTCCATCTGATTGTTATTGCTTTGGATGGAGCAAGGAAACCTCATTCAGCAATGGCTTGGGGAGGCTTCTGTTTCTGCCAACACAGATTGTGGGACAGATTGGCAATCCTACACTGAGTATATGTGTTGTGTGTGTATTTTTGTTGTTGTTTTTTATTCCTTAGTTTAAATTGTATACAGGGCATTCGAGCAAATTGACTGTTCTAAAACACCACCAAAGTAACAGGAAAAAACTTTCAATTGCTTTAGTCAGCTCTGCTACAATTTACATTTTTCTTCTTGGTTTACAGATGCCTTTCAAAATGTTATCAATTTTCTGTTCTCCTTTAAGTCTGGCCTCCTCCACCCCCACTGCTTTCTGTTTCTACTCCTCATTTTATATTTTTGGCTGAGCGGTAGACCTTCCTTAGCGCTGTGACCTTTATGGCTTTAAATTAAACCCCGCTGTGGCATGCCCCTTTTCGTAGACCACAGTTACGAGCCATCAGAGAACTGCAAAAAAATAATGATTCTGATTAAATGCCCGCTTTTTAAAATGCTCTCACAAATTCCTTTTAAATTTTTCACCATCTAACCTTTTTGAGTCAAATTAATATAATCTGTAATGAGAAACATCCTGTGAGTCATGAAATGATGAGACTTGGTCACATGCATACAGGTCGTTCTAGCTATAAAAGAAACCTCATCAATAATATAAATATATAGAGATAGACATTTACTATGATGAATTTTTATTTCAAAGTTAAGTTAGAAGTTTAATTAAAAAATAATCATAAGCCTTTTAACACCATATAATAAAATATTGTTTGTTATTTCAATGCAGCATCAGACTTCAAAACTACGGTGATTCCAGCCTTAGTTCAGACTGTGTTACAATATTGAATTGAATAATTTAAATGGTTCCTAAAAACCTGTTTGAATATCAAAAACATAGCAACAATTCATCTGATGAACTGGTTCTCTACTTAACAGATTGGCTCCATCTATCAGAGTGCATGTGCATGGGCATGGCAGCCTTGAATTTTAATCTACCAATCTAAAGACTAAGAGCAGAGATGGTTTCAGGGCTTCTTCCTCAAGGTGCTTCGTATCCTTGGAAACCAATGAATTATGGACTGGTCCAGTTAAAACATGTGTGGTATTACCCCATTCCAGGGTGTGTCCTCCTGTATATGAATCACTGATTTCATCAGTCGCTCTCTTGCTGTCTATAGCCCCTCCCCCACCACTAGTGCACCTCAGTCCCTGGGGCCGTTTGTCTGGGATCTGCCAGGCTCATCAGTGGAGGAGAGGAGAAGGCTAACTGGGAGGCATAGCTGGCTGTAAATCTGAGCAGAGGGAGTGAATCCTGCAATGGACACACAGCCTATAAGACCCACCAACACAGAGGCAAACATTCCTTAATGAATAGGATTGGAGCTCAGCCTAAACACCTATAGGCTTATCTGTACCTGAAACAACAGTTTATGAATGTTTACTTTTCGTTCTCAAAACAAGCTCATGCCATTTAAACTTCTATTACAATAACAGTAGTAACATGATACTTGTAAATAGGGAATGAGTTAAGAATCCTTTTAAGAGATCCAACTTCAAGTGCCAAGCACACAGATGCTCTGATTTGGACTGCACTGCAATGGGGTGGGACATTGCCTCTCTTACATACACTTAGCCATGTGTGATACTTTTGCATACTCATAGGCACGCACCCTCCCTCTCCTTATTTGAGAAATAAGCATTTTTACAGAGTTTGAGCTGTAAAAGGAGAGGAGCAGATAGCCCATAAATCTAGCCATAAAAAACGTTAAGTTGTCAGAGGTGCCATCAGCTATCAATCGTGTGCGGCAAGCTGATGAAGGGGAAATAGGTGATAAAAAACAGCATTTTAGGGAAATTATGTCCAGTCTTCCATTTGCGAAGTGCTGCAGTCGCATCACGACAGAATCTTAATCACTAGATGGTGTGGCCAGGGAGTACTGCTTGGTGTGACAATGTGGAGGAGCTCACCCTGGTGGGAGGGTGAGGTATGGAGGAGACTGGAGCGGGTGGGGGAGTGGGATCAGTGTTGTATAAAATTATACAACTAGCATAAATCACTTCTACACTACCATTTTTCTCTCTCCTTTAATTTCTTGCTTCCCCTTACTCCCTTGGCTGCAGAGCCTCTTTGCCCACGATTCTGCGCCATGGTGCCTCCTGCCCTTTGCCACTGGCTCTGTGCCTCTCAGCTCCTCCATCATCCATCTAAACTTCATTTCACTGTGGTTTGTTTACATGCTTTATTGATCTTCTCTTTGTTGCTTTCCAGGGATTTATGCCCTTTCCATGGGTCGGTATTAGTGCACCTTGAGATTGACTTTCTCCTCCGAGATGCCTCTGTTATTGTCTCTTTGAAATGGAGTGAATTGCCATCATGGCTGCGGCTGACTTTCACACTTCAAATTGGTAGAATTCAGTAAAATTTAACACAATATTGATTGAAGTGTATTCTTTATTTAACAGAGTAAGGTACCAGTATGATGCAAATAGTTGTGGAGTGAGGGCTTACAGTTAGAATATTAATTTGGATACCGGCAGTATATACAGTCTTTTTTCAATCAATTTGAATCACAGATTTTGGTTAGTTTTTCACTGCAATGGAATGGATGCATCAGTTCTCTCTTCTCATGTTCAGATTCAGTTTATTTTCTATTTGCAATGGATGCATTTGAAATACTTTTGTAAAATACCCAGTGTGCACTCTGCACCAGAGATAACAAAACACAAACCACAGAAAAAAAAATTCCCCTTTAAAAATAAATTTGAAATATAGACAATGTTTACATTTATGGGGTCTAAAACCATCATCATAATTTGCAGATCATTGACGAACAATAGTTCATTGATGAACAATTGCACATTGTCGTACAAGGCAGTCTGGGCCTGGGCCCTGTTTGTGTCAGAGGTTCTGCTGCCACCATCAGGGGACCTGAGGTATTGTAATGCGGTGTCTCAGCAGCTGAGTTTTGGCTGCACTGCAGAAGTTTGTCATTTTGATGACTGTTGTACAGGAAAGAATCATATCCTGAAATATCCCTATTGATTTCAACAGAACACACAAATGTTGAGCACATCATAAAAGAAGGATAAATTTGACTTGATCAATTTGAATTTGTTTGAGCACAAAAAAGATAACCCTTCAGGTTATAGCAGTCATGTATGTTTAACATGTTTTACAATATTTAAGATAATCTCTAAATGCTATTTACTTTACTATTAAGTTGTCGTCTGTAAGGTGTCTCTTTTTACATTTAAAGTAGGCTTTAAGTAAAAATTGTTTCTACACTGCACAATATTCTACAGCGATAAAAGACATTTTGTGCAGTATCCTGTTGCAGGGAGTGGTTTTATTGGTGCAGTAACAGCTGCCACTGCCAGGGGGCAGTTGAGCACACGTATCCAGGAGCAGACCACACTTGTCCTATTTTTTCTCTGAAGCATTATTTAGGTTATTGACATTTAAAGAAACAAATTAAATCAACATATTACTAATTTGATTTAGTTGGTAATTTATGGTAGGAGTAGTGAATACATTTGTTTAAGTTCCAAACATTAAGTTGTAATTTTGCGTGATGATGATTTTATTATGTGGTTTATTTAAAGGTAAAGGTAAAAGTAAAGATAAAGAGAATGGTGGACTTAGCCTTTTTCTCTACTCCTTTCTCATTGTACCAAGGCTTTTATTCTTGAAATTATTTTCAAAATTATAGCCAAATAGTTGCATTTTGTTTTTGATCATGTGCTATTAGAAGGATCTGTTTGTTGTCAGGCTCTTGAAGGAACTACAACCTGCTGCAATCAGGTTTAAACTTGTTTTTAAGTCCAATGTCACTTCTGTTTCCCTGGCCCTCCATAGAAGAAAAGTCATAAACCTCTTTCTCAAGCAACTGTGTTAAAAAGAACACCTGTAACTCGACACAGAGCCCTCTCTAGTCAAATGCCAGGGGACACTTTATGACTCATGGGAATGGGAGCACGCTAAAGACATAGTTTGTGTACAAGTCCATTCTTCAGTTTTCTACAGGTTTCACAACAACGTTTAGACATCTGAATGGAGGCCATTTTGGTTTGCCTATGTTTGCACACTTCAAAGATCTGTGCTGGTGCATGGGGGTTGGTCGCTTTGCTACCAGCGTTCTGAATAGTTCTGTTAATGTTTTAGTCATTCTGGAGCTACTGGGCCGAGAGACAGATTCAGTCAAAAACATTTGAGCACCCTCAGGTCTTCCGAAAGATTTATTGCGTATTTGGACATCTGCAAAGAGCTTTTGCGCCTTGACATTCTCTCTCTCTCGGTCTGTGTATTTCTCTTTGTGCAGTAAAACCTTGGGAATGTTATGTCACACTGAGTCACCTTGAAGGTATCCAGTAGCTATGTATTGTCACCTAACTCCTTTCTGATCTAACTTCATCTCTTTGTTACCTTCAAACTTTAACACATCCTTTTTTGAGGCCGTCCATTTTAACATGTCCGCCTTCTCCTGTGTCTCCAGCCCATCTCTCCAGCTGGACACATCAATCCATGTGACAGGTGCATGTCAGTCTGCTCCTTATTGGGTGTCATCCTAAAAATGAAATAGACTCTTAGAAAGACAAGATGAGCTAATGTTCGGTCTCATACAAACTTTTATCATTTTTTCAAACCTTAGAAGAAAAATGCAGGTTACTGATTAACACTTATGAGAATGTTATCTTGACAAGTTGTTTTATGGCTTAGTTGCCAAAGGCAGCCACCCTGACTGAGAGAAGAGCAAGCCTTCATGGTCATCAATAATACGTTTGTATGGCGTGGGTGGCGCAGGCTGTGTGGCATGTGCTTTAAAACTGATGGCCAGGGGCCCCTTCTCTGCTCCTCAGAATATGGTGTCATTAGCATCTGTGTCTCCATAACTAGCACTGCTGCTGAAGAGGCCCAAACATATCTGGTATGCAGTGTTTAGGAGGCACGCAGACAGGATAATTGCTGGGCAGAAACTGTCCAGTTCCAGACTTTCAAGTGCATTGCCTTTGAGCGTTTTACACCCCAAGTGGCTGAATACCCCAAAGGAAAAAAGGTCTGCATTGATTTATTGCTCAGCCTTTAATCTTTTGTTTCTTTAGACCAAGTTAATTAGCCACTAAAGATATTTCTTTAATTCTGTGCTGATATCAACATCGAATGAAAGACCCTCCGAAAGACAACTCAGACTCTATTTTATGATAATACTTATATTTTAAAATGACAAATCACATAGATAATATTTTGTTTAATTAACTTTCACGAAATACAATGCAATTGACTGTAGGACAGATCACGTAATACAGTATATAATAATGCATTAATACAATGTTTTCTTTGACAAAATATTGTCATGTTCTACTTCCAATGGGCACTCATCATTCAGAAACCATGACACCATTCACACCAGAGTTTCATATGGAAACTGTAACTATTTAGTAATTGAAAAGAAGACGCAAAAAAACAGAAAAAGCCTCTTCAGATTTTCCATGGCCAGATGTCTGTTATTTTGGCAGCGTGGTGTAGCAGTTAGCATTTATGTTTCACAGCAAGAAGGTCCTGGGTTTGATTCCACCTCCAGGCCTTTCTGTGTGGAGTTTGCATGTTCTCCCAGTGTCCGTGTCGGTTTCCTCCAGCTGCTCCGGTGTCCTCTACAACAACAAAAAACAGGCAATAGGAATGAATGCAATGATTGAGTGAATGGATGGTGTTGGTTGCTGGCGTCTCTCTTCTGTCATCACCATCTGAGAGAATGGTAAAATATCTGCATATCTACACTGTAAAGCGCTTTGGGTGACTTTGGTCTGGAAAATGCGCTATATTGATTAACATTACTTTCTTACTTACTTAATTCTCAGCATCAGATCAGTATCAGTGAAAAGATCAAAACAAAATAATCACATAATTCAGAAAACATAATGTGAGGTACTCTTAATAATAAATATTGCTCCAGTTCTCAGCAACACAAACATAAGACGAAGGAAAACAACTTTGATGGTTGATAGAATAATTCTCTGGTCAAGAAAAAACCCTTCACAACAATCGGACTGATCAAAAACACTGTCATTTATGTCAATTATCAAGAGAAGACTTAACAAGAGAAAACGATTCGGCGCTAGATGTAAACTAATGTTGAGCAACAAAAAAAGTTTGCCTATAACATGATCTAAAATCTTGTACCAGAGTGATTGCAATAGAAAAGAATTCAGAAGGAATGGCAGGACGCTTGGAAAAATGATTAGATATATTGGAGAGAGCGAGCCTGAGATTCCATACTGTCACCAATCTGTTGATTTACCAACACTGTTATTATCATCACATAATTGTTACTACTGCTTGTAACTATTAGTCTACCAAGCTTTGCATAAGTTGACTGACTATTTGATTTGAATTACAATAATTTGTGAAACCGACAACAAATTAGAAGATTTAGAGAAAAATAATTGAAGACGTTGGTATCTGGTATTGTATTAATTGAGTTCGGTTTTAGTCAGGAAAAGTGCCTCATTTTCATTCAACTAATAAATCAACAGGGCATTTGATTAGGCAATCCAGAATTAATTTGGTCGACTACAGCCATAGAAATTTAAAGTAACATTTCAAGATTATCTATGGTGTTCATGGGGTATGCACATTATATTATTGTTACTAGTTTAGAGCTTGTAAAAAACGCGTAAGTGTCCGAAGGAAGTGTTGATGTAACTGGTGGTGGAGGTGTGAATGCAAAATTGCTGTGGAAAAGTAAGCCTGTGTGATTCTTCACCATCACAGCGTTGGAGAGCCCCTAGTGTTGGCGGAAGAGGGTGATGACACAGATAACGACTAAGGGCTGTGATTGTTAGGATTGATCTCACACAGGAGAGATCAATAAAGTCTAAAGTCAGTTCCAGGAAAGAGTAAAAGGCCAAAATTACTATGTGACTATGTGTGTGTGTGATATATATGTATATCAAATGCATAAATGTGTGTACATGTATGTGTACAGATATGTATGTGTCTGTGCATATATGTCAGTTAAATGTGTACTGCATAAATGTGTGTATGTATGTAGGTATGTATATATATGTTAAATGTATTGTGTATATGTGTATGTCTATGTGTTTATGTGTTGCATTTGTGCGTGTGTATGTATATATGTGTGTATGTATGTATGTGCATATATGTGTATGTGTATGTATATATATATATATAATGTTATTTATGCACA